GAATGAAAACTATGCTGAGTAAGGTTTTATTCCTCCTATGTGCGAGATCAGTTACCCTTTAACACTCGTTAACCATTCTGTCATAATTATAGCCAATTCAATCAACCAGGGCTCTTAATGTTTCATGAATGCAGGCTCATGGATACCTCAAGGTTTCTTCTTTGCAGTACAGTATATTGATTGTAATGAAAGTTTGATAGTTATTCCAATTTAATGAAGAAAAAGCTTAAGATGGAATCACAGGAGATAGCACAGACAACATAACCAAGATAACGCTTTGTTTCATTAAAGCTCCTACTTCACGGCATCACTGTCATGTTTTCATTCTGAAATAAAATGGAAGAAAATATTTTCAACCTCGCCTATAATTTCCAGCAGAAACTCATCTCCATGTACAAAAAACTTGTATATGATGACCTATTGATTGTGGTGTTCCCTGCTAGGAGTATATGGTTATTCACAGATAGCAGCTGTATAGAATTATATCTATATTCTGTTGATCCTTTCTGCCTGTTATAAAGTTGTCCATAAATAATTTAAATCTATAATTGTCCTTAGTCAATTTTTTTGTCACTGCAAAAGCAGATGTAATCAATTTGAAGGAAATGTTGGAACTGAAACACTGATTGTTTTAAAACAGCTAATGCTTTAAAAAAAGGAGTTATAACAAACCCAAATGCTAGTTTGACTCCAGCAACACAATCATAGGATCCATCAAGGACACTTTTGCTTGTTCCTTTGCTAATGTGATCTATGACATTGTTTGCCAGTAAGGCCCCTCTGCACTTTACATAGGACAAATGGGACAATCCTTATGCAACAGAATTAATGGACACAAATCAGACATCAGGAATGGCAGTACATGGAAACTTGTTTCAAATTATTTCAGCCTACAAGGACACTCTTCACAGGACTTGAAATTTCCTATTCTGGAAAAGGAAAATCACAGAAAAAAGAATCCAGAGGGAAAAACCTGAAATAAAATATATACATGTTTAATACCTCTCTCAACATATTAAATATTAGCCAAGGGTTCTTAAACCATTACCAAATATGAAATAGTACAATTATATTGTTACCTGCTGCCATTTCCTATAGCCCAGGTTTCTTCCCAACCAACCACTGCCATTTTAAAAGAACAAACTTTGAAGTTAAAGTCAATTATTCTTAACTCATTACCATGTTGTTTGTGCTGTTGTTTTCTATAGCCTGATGTTCCTTTAGCCACTAATTACTCTCGCTGTTTACAGAAAAAAGCTTCAAAAGAACTGAATACTAAATGGGTCTTAAGTCATTACTAGGTATAAGATGCCACAGTGACTCACAGAGTTTGCAACTGGAGTCTACCAACCACACTTCTTTCTCTTAATAGCTATGTATGACTGCTTTGTCATGTGTCTGTATCCTTACATCTGAAGAAGTGACCTTGTTCCATGAAAGCTCATATTAAAATAAATATAGCAGTTATTCTTTAATGGTATAGTTTCTTCTTTTGCTTTTGTGTTTCTTGTTAAGAGTCCCATAGAAGTTGATCTTCCTTTATTTTCTGAACAGCTTGATTTATGCCAAAGACGGAGGCTGGATACATACAGAATCAAAGGCCGAGAGAACATTTACAGAAGAGAATGGTATGGTGGACACATTTTTTATCTACTGAGTGTTTCAGGAGGGGGGGAAATGGTCAGCTGTCCATCTGCAATAGAAAAAAACAACACTTGTTCCTTGGCCGGAAGGATTTTCTGAATCAATTCTAATTTCCAGCTTATCCAAAAGATGTGGTTAGCCACTAAAGAAATAGGTATGTCCACCATACCATTATCTTCTGTAAATTTTTAGGCAGTTTTTTTTTTTCTGAGAAGGCTATTTCAATTTTATTGTATGCTGATGACATTACACTTTCATATACAGTTTGGGATGTGTACATCTTTGAGAGCTCTTCAGTTCATATTGTGCCAAGGAACACCTACAAGATAATTTTTCAAAAGCTAAAACTATAATGTTTGAAAGGTGAAGATGGAAATATCAATAGCAGCTGGTTAATCAAGGGTTTAATTGATCTTATTCCTAAAAATATTTATGCAGAACATTTAAAAACTCTGGATTCTGATTCCCTGGCACCTTCACTTGAAATCTACTGCATTAACAGCTAATGCAAATTTTCACTGTGCAGCTAGATCAGATGGTCGGTTGTTGGTGCCCCTTCTTGAGCTTTATATGATTTACCTATTATCTCAGCTGCTGAATGGGCACACTGAGATACTGCAGTTTTGGAGTTAAATTAGAACAATTCAAGTTCCTGACAATAACTCTGGAATTCCTAGATCTACCCCAAGGCAGTTGTTGACATGGAGACAGCCTGCTGGTCTAAGGGAGTTTTAGTCTACAGGGCAGCCATCCTCTGCTGTCTTAATATAATTTTCCAACAGCCCCCCCCCCTATTTTCTGGTATTTATTTTTTTTTCTTCCTGAGTTAGCTTTAAAGAGTGAAGATTTTAACATCTCCCCATGACTATACATACTGTACTTCTAATATTATTGTGATCAATAAACATTTAATCCAATTATTATTTGCTGCAGCATTTTAGTTTAATATATGTACTGCTTAGTTATTTGTTTTATTTAATTTTCTCCCCCTTTTCATATTTTGGGGACAAACTATTAGTGCTCTATAAATAATAAATTTCTGAATTTTCCTGTGGAAAATATTCATACTCCAGAAGGGTCACCTGTGATAAGCCTTGTCCTACATATGCAAAAATGTGCCAGTACATGATGCAAGATTATGCCAGTTCTATCTTTAGTTTTGTAATCATAACGCACATAAGTACAAAGAAACAATGAAAAAGATGAGGATCTGGTAAAACCTGAAAGCAATTTCACTTGTATCTCTCAGCATATGTTTATTACACTTGTATCTCCCCATTCTCCAAGCTACTCAAAAAGTACAACTTAGTGACTGCAACTCATCTGGAGAGCTTCATAGCCATGCATAGCATGTAGTTCTCCATCACTCTCTCTAGTCCCACTGAATTGCATATAACTTAGTAATTATACACAGGATCAAAATATTAGGCAGTTCCTTGTCAAAATTAGTCAATGACTATCAAATGGAATTTCTTTTGAATTGTTAATAAATTCCTTCTCCCAGTCTCTCATCACATATATATTTTCCTTCCAAAATAATTATTTAACAAAACTGACCAACTCTTCTATGGTTGTTACATCCATATTTCATTCAGGGAATTTAAAAAAAAGCATTGCAGAAAAAGGCAGAGCCAGACCTAATGCAAGTAATTTTCTTTATTAGAGTTTTATTGTATTCCTGGTCCAAGGGGCTTAGACCAGAATATATGGTCTCCCAGATTTTATCCTTAATAGATAAAATAAATAGAAAAATAAATAGATTAAGGGTGTGATGAAAACTCCGTAATTTTCTTTTCTTGTTCTTGATTTAAAAAAGGATGTCCTGATAGCGCCTTGGCATGTCAACACACGCAAATGAAGAAAAAAAAAACAACCACTATGAGATTTTCCAGTCCTGTACTAGAGAGAGAATATCAGCATTTTTGTCATTAGCATTATTTTAAAAAAAAAATTTGAGCAAAAACAATACTTTTTGTGCAAAACTTTTATTTTGTGCAGTTCTTTTTGTACAGAAAACCTTGTACTTTATACAAAATACAGTGGTGCCCCGCTTGACGATTACCCTGCTTGGTGAGAAAATCGCTTAATGATGATTCAATGGGTTTTTTTTCGCTTTTCGGGAACTGATTTTTCTGCTTAATGACAATCTAAAAACAGTTGATCGGCGGTTCACAAAATGGCTCCCCGCTGTTTTTCGGACCTATTTCCGCTTTACAGGCATCGGAAAATGGCTGCCCTATGGAGGATCTTCGCAAGATGATCAGGTATTTCCCCCATTGGAACACATTGACCAGTTTTCAATGCATTCCAATGGTTTGTTGGGGTTTTTTGCTTGATGACGATTTCGCTGTACAGCGATTTTGCTGAAACGCATTATCGTCGTCAAGCGGGGCACCACTGTACACGGGGTTTCTGCACAAAAAATTTCCATACATATTTCATTAAAAAGTGCTGAAAGTTTGTGTTTTTTTGCAATTTCACCTAGCAGAGACAAAAGTTTTTAAATCTTTTCATTCTCACTCTCCACATGCCATAGCAGTTTTTAAGCTATGCCTCTTGGCCAAAGAACTATCTGGCACAGTCTGAAAGACAGTTTGGAGCCCCTTGCAATATTTTTCAAAATTCTCTCAGTGACAATACTTTTAAAGATATGGCTCCCCAAGTCACCACCTGGTTCATGCAGCTGCTCACAAGTGAATGTTCCTTTATTTATTCAAATATTCAATTTATTTATTCAAATATATTTTCTGTTTCTCCAGAGTTATTTTCTAACAACCAGGCCCCAAAAGAGTATTCCTTTCTCACTTTTTCCATTCCCTGCTACCTATCCAGTGTTCTCCTCTCTGGCTTTTAATAACCTTAGAACTGCAGAGCTAGAATGGACTCTATGGATCATTGAGTACAGTCCCTTTCAAACAGGCACACTGGGAATTGAACTCCCAACCTCTGACACTGCAGCCAGAGACCTAAGCCACTGAGCTATTGCTCCATGGTCCCTTTTGATACGATCCCCCCCCCAGTCACATTGTTGGTCCCTCTATCAATTTCCAGGAAGACATCCCCTGAATTTTAAGTCACACAGCTTCTCTTCTAGCCTTTCAGACTGCTTCAGCAGACACAATTCTTGAGAGTGCTTCTCAATTCTCAGGGTCACTTAAAAGGTAATCTGAAACAGTCAAGAATTGACAAGATGTTTTAGGTATGAATTCTGTTGGTAAAGGTAAAGGTACCCCTTCCTATTAGGGCCTGGTGCTCATTCCCATTTCCAAGCTGTAGATCCATAGACAGTTTCCGTGATCATGTGGCCAGCATGGCTAGACACAGAACGTCGTTACCATCCCGCTGTTGTGGTACCTATTTATCTATTCACAGTTTTACATGCTTTCGAACGGCTAGGTTGGCAGGAGCAGGGATGAGTGACAGGAGCTCACTGTAAGGCTGTCCAATTAAGGTCATAGACTTTCTGCTATATTCTGGGGAAGAATAGACAGATCTGCAAGTCAGCCTATACATTATATAAAATGAGGATGTTTTCTGTGTAAAATTCTGGGCATTATTCAGACAACATATCAAAGGCCCTATTTTGGATTCAAGAAAAGTGCCACAGCAGGAAACAGAAGGTCTCAATTCTAAACTCCGGCATCTATAGTTACAGGTATCAAGCAGGAGGTGATGGAAGCTGGCCACAGACCCTTCCTTGAAAGTTATTCATGGCCCTGGGTGGGGCTAATCTCCTCTCCCCTAAATCCACTTTCAAAATGCTCATGAAAAATTATGAACAAAACATTATCACCCAGCCAAATTGTGCAGGTTGCCTAAGGTTAGACTAGATAATAACTCAGGTCACTTCTGGCAATGAATTCTTAAATGTTTCAGAGAGAACAGGATAATGAGGTAAGTCCCATGCAGAACACAGAAATATTTGATTGTTTGCTTATCACCACTGACTAGTAGACTTGGGCCTCTCAGGTGAAGCCAATTGTTTTGCAGCTCTTAAGATATTCTTGTGCCTGAGCCAAAAAGAGAGAGACAGAGTATCTACATGGCATCTCACTTCCTGACACATATAAACCCATTGGACAGATCTTTTCCACAAAACATATGGAAAGAAATTAAAAGGATAAGAGAGGATCATCTTCCGGTGGATTATAGCCCATGGATTAGGCTTGTTTGTCCATACGCTTCCAGAATTGAGTGTGCAAGGCAGAGTTTGCCCACGCAGTCTCACAGTAAGGTTGCCTCCACATCTAAGGTGTATATACAACCCTCTAGTTAGGGTTGGAATCAATACTAAATTCTCTAGAAAGCCTGAGTTCTCCTATATCAAGGAAGCGAGTGGCTCTGAGGTGGGGCGGCCACTTCTCCTCAGGGGGACTTGTTATAGTCCATGTCCCGCCGTTTCCTCCATTGCAGCATCTTGAGGAGGCTGAGGCTAGCTTTGAAGAGCCTATCATGCTGAAAAATCATTTGATGGAAGGCATTGATAGGCAGATTCCCACTAGGATCAGCATGTTTGAGGGTGGTGATGGGAGTGTAGAGACTATTGGTTTGATATCGAAATGGAGGCTTCTCTGAGGTGATCACTTTCATAGTATGCTGCCAGAAAAGAAAGAAGCAAAGCAGAAAGTTAGGAATGCTGAAAACCCTGTTCATATTGTTTATTACTGGAGATTTAAAACTTCAGTAACCAGTCTAATCACTTTTCTCAAATAAAACAATTTGTGCCTTATACTATTTTGTTTCATTGACTGCTGACAACAAGGTAGATCTGTGTACTATGAAGGAGACATGGTATTCCTAATTTTGAATTTGTAACACAAATTTCAGAAGTAGGTTTTCAGGACATTATGACAAGGAAAAAATCAAGATGAGGAAGTTTTATCTAGTGAGGGAAATATGGAGTTATACTTGCTGACTCAATTGCTGAACTCCTATTAAGAAGTCTCTCCTAATGTCTACTTGAAATCTACCACCATCAAACGTAAGCATGTTAGCATGTTAGCAGCACAGTTCTTTCTCTCAGCCACCTAGCCATCTTGAGATATTTGAAAATATTTAGTGTTCTGCCATCCCACAGGCTAAAACAGCCAGTTCCTTCAACTATTCATCAACCTGGCATCTCTCCTCTACAACCTTTTAGAAGTATAGCAGTTAAAACTGGACACTGTATCCCAGCTGGACTAGTACAAAACAAAACAAAACTATTGCTTCTTGTGAATTGGAAATTATAGTTCTGTTCATGCATAAAATTTGTTTTTCCCCCAGCCACATCACACTCTGTTGACTCATGTTCAACTTGAAATAAATTATAATTTCAAGATTTGATTTCACATGCACTACTGCTAAATTAAAAGTCTTTCATTCTATATGTCCTAACTGCAGAACTTTCCATCCTCTTCTACTGGCTGAAATCATGTCTATAGCATAAATTAAATACTAACTTTCCATACATTCCTTTCTGGTAAATGAAGTGCCCCTGATAGTTGAGTATTTGTAGCTGTGCGATCAGCTACAAATCGACACACTACAACAGAACACAGAGTTCTTAGCTCCTGTTCTCTGAAAATGCTGGCTACAGAGACTGGCGAAACATTAGGAAGAAAAACCTCCAGAACATGGCCAAACAGCCTGAAAAAACCACAACAACCATTCCCCTATTGCTTTTTGCTGGCTTGATAGCACTGGGCAACGTTGGGTGGGATGGAAAAAGTGCACGAGACATTACCATCCTACCTCTGCCACTTCTTCTGGGGACTGCCCCAGTGCATTGAAGACATCCTTTGAGTAGGCTAAGTAGAAGCCTTGAAATATATCCAATGTCTCTTTATCCGCCGTAGAGAGATTCATACTGGCTGCCTCTTCATAGAGTTTTCTCTCAAACTCAGTTATTACTGGCCCCGGTTCAATCAAACTGATGCTGTGGAAAGAATGAAGCAGGAGATAATCAGAACACTGGTTCCCCCTTAATGAAACACCCTTTCTTTCAGTTAGACAAAAAGACAGGGGGGAGGGGCAGCCATTTATCTTCCTCGCAACCCCATCCTATGATTGAGTTTTATCAACCAGTAAGAGTACTGCAAAGAGGGCTCTGGTATCCAAGGCAGTTACTTCTACTTTGTCTTAGGGCACCTGCAACTTAAGTTAATTCATTCATGTACTGCTCTTGATTTTCAATCATTTATCAGTAGCAAGGATCATACAGGTATAGGGAATCAATATTTATGCACCGTTACTTTAAAAACCATCAAACATTTATATTCTGACTTTCAGCCCTTCACAGGACATTTACTTAAGCTATTTGTCATAAATACAAAGAGGGAAATATATTAAAATACAGTTGGGCACCCATATCTGCTGGAGATTGGTTCCAGGCCTGTCCATGGAAACAGAAAACCACAAATAATAGTGAATTCTCTCTCTCTCTCTGTATATAGAATGATAAAAGGGAAAAACTCAGAAAAATTATTTTCATGGCATTAACAGAACTGGCCACTAGAGGGGATCAGAGACCATGCTATGTTTTCTTCACTTACAAGTATTCATAGCACAGTCTGTGGCTTCCTATAGTGGCTGGTTCTGGTGGTGCATGTGAAAAGTTTTCCTGGGTTTCTTTCTTTTAATGTTTTCAGACTGTGGAAAAGTGAAACTGCCTATATGGGGACCCTACTTATACAATTAATAAAAAGAGCTAATTGAAAACACTTATTATTCCAACAGGTTAACAATAAAAGCTCAAATCAGACACATTAAGAATGTGGTGAGTTTAGTTAGAACATGTGTCCCATACCTTTTTTCTCACCTCAAAGTCTCCAAATTATAAATTGAAGGAAGTTTGAACTGACAGAATCTTCTCTGACAGCAAACCTGGGTGGTTCTGTTAACATAAGATTGAAAGTGGCACAGACCACCAAAACCAAGATAAAGGGTTTCTGCCTACTTGTAGGATACGGGACAACTGTCACATTAATACACTGTGGTGTAATGGATAGTGATGAGCTAGGACTCTGGAGAACAGGGTTCAAACCACCACTTGGCCATGGAAATTCACTGGGGGAGCAGAACTTGTAAAACCACTTCTTAAATGCCTCACTTACCATGAAATCCCTATTAGGATCACTATAAGTCAGTTCCATCTTGACGGCACAGAACATAACATATGGTGAGTTAAAAGCAAAACGTGGAGGGGGGAATGGCCTTAGAAAAAAATCCCAAGATGCTTGTTGCATTTGTGTGTGTGTGTGGTCTCTGTGTGTGTGTATATGTGTGTGTGTGTCTTTGCACGTGAAAACTAGAGTGGCAGGGGGGGGAGGGGTTCAAGCAGAAAAATAAAATACTGTGTCTTAGAGGATGCTAAGAGAGCAGGGAATAATGCTATGGGGATGATGTTCTGCCTATGAGGTGACCTTGAAAGTGGCAGCATCCTGATTTTGCAGCTCTATATTAAAGTGGCTCATCTAGCACTGCCTCATGTCATAGCCTTCTTCTGGCAGGTAAACTAGTCATGTATCATCAAGTCAATTCTGACTTACGACTACCCTCTTCATGGTTTTCCAGGTAGAGAGTACTCAGAAGTGGTTTACCATTCCTTTCTTTCGGGAGCACCCTGAGATTATGCAGCTTGCCCAAGGCCGCACAGGTTGACTCTGCTCATAGGAGGCACAGTGAGGAATTGAACTCCCAAACTCTGGCTCCACAGCCAGGCAATTAATTCACTGAGCTGTCTACCAAGCTGGCAGGTAAAACCCTTCTAAATTAAAAAGTCAACTCACCTACTGGACTGATTCATTTCGTTTGCACAGTAATCGTATCTGGCACTTAACTAGCTACTGCTATCTAAACTTCTATTTGCTTTTATCTCATTGTTATAGTACTGTTACTGTGTTACAGCTTATCATATTTGTTGTTATACCAAGTGGTATCTTTTAAAGTAAATAACTGATGTTATCTCTCTTGTAAATTGTATAGTCCACATTAAAAGGAATGATGTTTAACAAGCAAAGAAGAATTAAGAGAGAAAAAAATTGCTCCTTGTTGCAGTACATGGTTATATTTTGGGCATGGGGGAGGAGAATAGAAGGAAAGGGCTATCTGTCCACCTTTCCTACTCTGCAGATATCTCCTCTTACTTGCCTTTGAGTAAGAAAAGGAAACAGACCAACGTGACCAACATTCCCTTCAAGTTGCGTGGCCACGCAGCTGCACAGCACTGCATCAGTGCCATATACCCACTGCCAGTGTTGCTGCCTATTTGGTTTGGTTCTGGGGGGGGCAGCCCAGCGCTGACAGAAAATTGGAAGGAACGTTAGGCATGACCATATGGTATGAACTGGAGTTAGTGTGAAGGGCTTGTTGGCTAGTGATGATGGATTTGCAGACCAACACATTGAGAGGGCACCAGACTTTCAGCCTGTTTAATTTTATTGAGCAGGATATTCAACTAATTAGTACCAGTACAGAAGAAAAAAAAATCCATTCCAAGTTCCTACCTGCCATACACTATGAGACTGAGGGATCTAGAGTCATGCCTGACATTACTAAAAGAACATGCAGGGAGAACTTGGAAAAATTACTTTTTTTTTTTGGACAGAATCTCCAAAGAATTGTAAGTGGCAAGACAAGAATCATAGTGGGTAGGAAAGGCTGCATCCAGAATGAACCAGATTCCAGAGCACAAGCAAACAAGCAAAGAATTACATTAAGTGACCATGGATAGAGCCAGAACAATTTCTACAGGGAGAAAAAAGAAACCTCTGGATTTTTCTACCATCTAGGCTTATGACTCTGGCCTGTTAATAACAATTGGGTCAGGGTCAACTTCTCATCCACATTGCCATGCAATTAGGTGCGAAGGGGAACCTCTAAGAATATGGTATATGGTAGCAGGTCCCCTAAAGATCAGTGCAGTCACCATCCACACTGTCATGCAATTAGGTGCGAAGGACAACCTCTAAGAATATGGTGTATGGTAGCACGGCTGAACTGCTGCAAATCAGTAGCTACACTTCTTGGGAAGAACACCTCAGAAAAAGCAGAAGAGATTCCTGCAGGTCCCCTAAAGATCAGTGCAGTCACATGAGATAGAAACTAAGGTACGAAGATGAGCACCTTTGCTAGCACATTCATAAAGGGATGCATCAACTATGAGGAGCATTTACATCTATGTTACATTACATCTAATGCTTAAGAGAAACTTATTAAGCTTATCTTGGTGAATGGCCCAAGGTCACCCAGTGAGACGTTAATGTCTCAGTGGGACTGGAAAGAAAGCCCTTCCCATTTCTAGTTCAACACATTGACCACTTTGGCTCTCAGTAATAAAAATCACCTTGAACTACAAAACCTTCTCAGAATGGTAAATAAATCCCAGCCATGATATATCATAACTTTAATCCCCCAATACTCACTTGACCCCAAATTTCAAGGCTTGCAAAGCCAGGCTCTCACAGAAACCTTCCACAGCAAATTTAGAGGCAGAGTAGATATCATTGAATAGAAGACCTGTAAGGAATGAAGCATCAGGACAAAATAAACAATGTGAAAAGTGACTTTAAAAATATCTTCCTGTGCTACAGGTCAGTGCATGTGAATGTGCAGACACACAACAAAATAGGAGCCATTTGCTAATTAGATGCCAAGTTGCAACTGTTCTTACTGTCCCTATTTCTGCAGCTTTACCAATAGCTCTTGCATGGAAAAATTATAAATATTTTCTTTGTCTGGACTAGACACTAGAAGTGTTGAGGAAATGTTGCCAGTTTATTTTTTTTCCAGGCTGAATGGCTTTTAAAAGCCACAAGAGCAGGACCTACTTAAAAAAGGGAAATGTACCAATCAGAACCACTTTGGGCAAGCAGCTCTTGCTAGGAATTCAAGCACAGAGGAATCACCTCATTCATCAGACTGATTAAGCAAAATCACAGGAACGGCCCATTTATTTTACAAGCTGCAATTAATGTTGCTTAAATTGTTTAGCAGAGTATAAACACAAGGGGTTATGTCTTTGCAAGGCATACTATAGAACAATAAAAGGAAGTAAGGATAGTAAACAGCGCCACTTGACACTACACTGTGAATGTTAGGAAGCTTAAATCAGAAATACAAAGGATTTTCTGTTTTCTTACATCCTACAAGGAGGTATACCATATTCAGAAAGTGCAACCAGTGTATGGGACTGAAAGAGGTTAAGTATATTGTTTGATAAATATATGATGTGTTACAATATCTTTGCTGATGCCTCCTTGGAATCAAGAAGGATCCTCTACATTAGAGATGTGACTTTAGATACCGTTTGTAGTTCCTTTTCTCTGCTGCACGTGGCCTAGGTTCACTTGCATAACTTTTGTTATGCTGTACATGGATCAAGTCACTTCTTCCCAATAAGAGTTTTCAAGGTACGTGAGATGTTCAAGATGTGGTTCACCATTGCCACTCTTAGTGAGTTTTTACAGCTGAGCAAGGGCTTGAACATATTCCAACTCTTAATCTCCTGAGTCCTAGCCCTACATCATATCCCCAACACTATTTGGCTGCCATGAGTTTGCCCTGTAGCAAAGAAATAGCTCAGTGGGAAAACATGTGATCAGTATGCAACAGGGACAGGAAGAGTCACAATTGCTCCCATGGGTGTACAGGATTCAGGGACGGACTGCAGCATGATTTCCTGAGAAAAATGGAAAGAGCACCAGCTTTCCTTAGGAAAAATGGATCTAATTTGAGTGTAGCTTCATCTCCTTAGAAAATACAAAGGTGCTCCTGTACAGTCTTCCCAGTCCTGTCACTCTCTGGCCTGTAACAGCCATGAAAAAGGAAATTTAGAACATTTGTAATTGCAATGAGACCTCATGAAGATGTTCAAAGGGTGCATTGGTGAGCACTCATTGTATAATGTTCAAGTCTCAGATAGGCTACCTATGGTGGAGGTAACAGTAAAGCACCACAAAGTCAATGCTTGCAATATGGAGGAGTAGACCTGTTTTGCTGTTGTGGAGTTAAAGACAGTGTTGCTAATTCTTAAGGTGTTTAGATGAAGTGCAGAAAGCAAGAGAGAGAGATTGGAATAACTTGGGTCTAATTGTTGTTGCTCATAGTATTGAACTAGAGTTTTCCATATGGCTTTTAAATCTTGATGGTTGACAGCACTCGAGAGTATATGGCAGCTACAACATACAGCCTAATTTCCACAGCGCCTTTTTGTTTTTTTGACGCATATACCGCCCCATAGCGCTACAAGCACTCTCCGGGCAGTTTACAATTTTAATTATACAGGCTACACATTGCCCCCCCCCAGCAAGCTGGGTACTCATTTTACTGACCTCGGAAGGCTGGAAGGCTGAGTCAACCTTGAGCCGGCTACCTGGGATTTGAACCCCAGGTCGTGAGCACAGTTTTAGCTGCAGTGCAGCGTTTTAACCACTGCACCACGAGGCTCTTTTTTTTAAATTTCCACAGCGCCTTCCATTCAACCTCCATGTGGCCAGGCACAGCCAGGTGCAATTAGCATGGCAATGGGTTCCTAGTCAGCAGATATCACAGAGGCAGCAAAAGTCAACTGGGAAAGCTGACAGATGTTTGAAAACTAGGACCCATGAGGCCAGTATTGAGCCACCTGAATCACCTGAGGCTTCTACATTTGAACTTTCCATAACACTCTTGGGAGAATGAGAGCTGGAAAGAGTAAGTGAAGCAGACCTGCATGTCATGACGACACTAGGAAGTCCTGTTTCTCAACAAGGGGGAAGACCAAAACCAGGAATTCTGTGACTGATGTGAAGAAGAACCATATTAACTTCCAAATATGAAAAAAAAATCACCCTCCATTCTCCTGGATGTAGCTGTTTGCTGCTGAGAAAAGGTGCTTGGAGTTTAGTGTGTCTCTGAAGTGTTAATCCATCAAGGAACTCACTGTGCACTCTGTCCATGCTAAGAAAAGCATGTTAGAGGGACTTGGAGCACACTTCACATGATTTGTTTATAAGGGCTATTATAATCACATCATCATCATGCTGAAATACGATATGCAAGTTTCAAATTAAATGAGAAAAGTTGTGTACAACCAGCCAGGCTTCCAGGAGCTCCAACTAATTGAGGCTCTGATTGCCTCCAACAAAAGTGCAGAAGAACATAGTGCAAATAAGTATGAAGCTGAATCCTCATTAGACATAAATTTCCAGGTTCCACCACTATGGATCTGGCAGAGACTGTTGGCAAGGCTGTCAGACCAAAGGAGAAAAGCCTTTTATTGATAGTTATGCTAAGCATAGGCAAAATCTCGGAACTCTGCTGCCATTTGGGGCCATATGGATACTATATATCCTGTTACTCCTCTTCTCAAATGTTGACATTAAATAGGGAAGAAACTTGTCCCTTGGAAGGCTTGAGAATACAGTGGTGCCTCGCATAGCGATTGCTCCATTGAGCGACAAAATTGCTTAGCGACGGAGTTTTTGCGATCGCAAAAGTGATCGCTTTGCGACGGTCCCTATGGGGTTTTTTCGCTTTGCGATGATCGCGGGGAAGCGATCATGGCAAAGCGACCCTTTTTTAACAGCTGATCGGCCGTTTCAAAATGGCCGCTGGGAAAACAAAATGGCTACCCACTGTTTTTCCTCGCTTAAGAAGCTGCGAAAATGGCGGCGCTATGGAGGATTTTCGCTTAAAGGTGAGGTTTTAAGCCCATAGGAATGCATTAATCGCGTTTTAATGCATTTCTATGGGCTTTTTAATTTCGCTTAGCAACGTTTTTTCCGGAACGGATTAACGTCGCTAAGCGAGGCACCACTGTAGTAGTTTGTAACTGAGAGTCAACATTTGAAGGATCTTGTCAGTCATTGACTTCTTCCAAGTCTTCCAAAAGAGCTAGAATCTGCCCCCTCCCCACTGGACTATCATATCTTGTCACAACTTGTACCTGCTGTCTGTGTCTCCTCTAGGGGAAGAAACAGGTCCATTTATTGGCAGGGTTTAGCTGCAACTTTGGCTGAAAATGCCCAGACAAACTGAACCTAAAATTCTGAGGCATTTTTTCTAGCAAAATCCATTGAGACACAAAATGAATTGTTCTAAAAGGTCATTCTAAATGGCTTTTTCTCTGGTTATGTTGAAGCAATAGAAAAAGAGGGCAGAGCCTATTTCTTCTGTTTAGTCTTCAATGAAATATCATTTAGGGCATGCTAGTCAAAAAAGCAATGTCATTTAAAGGAAACTGTTTTTAAGTTTGATCCAGAAAGCCTGAGTTCCAATATTTTACTCCTGTTGTGTGTTGAGACACTTGGTAACTGTTCTCTCTCTAACAGAGACAAAAATACTGTCTTGTGTGGCATCTGCCACAAATAACAGGATTCTATGGATTCACACACACACACCCAAAAAATCTGAACAACACTTTGTGATCTGCATCATAATTCTCTAAGGTTATCTTCAATCCACAGTATAGATGCTTAGGAAAACAGGAAAGAAGCAGCAGAAAATCTAAAAAGCTGTAGCTCTCTTGGGTTTTAAATATCTTCTTCAAACATTTTTGCCCTTAGAATCTTTGAATGCCGCATGTCCTCCTTTCAACATCAGGGCAGGTGAAACTAAAATAGCAATAGGTGCCTCTTCCAAAGGAATCTTTAGCTTCAGCACAGCTTGCTGTAACAGAGTATAACATTTTGGAGCAGTAGAAACAGCCTCTCTAACATCCGGAAAGGCAGACCTATCTGCTTGAAGCAAGTTCTGAAAAACAGAGGGAAAAGGATTTGCCCTATGAGAGAAGGGTGCTTGTGCTCATGCAGGACTTTATTCCACACTCCCTAATCTCTGCTGTAATCATAATAATCATACAGTGGTACCTCGAAGACGATTACCCCTCAAAATGACAAATCCGCATGATGATGAGGTTTTGCAACCACCATTTTGCTTCACAAAACAGCGATTCCTGCGGGGAAATTTTGCTGGACGATGATTTGGTCCATGCGGGGAAATTTTGCTAGACGATGATTTGGTCCATGCTTTGTGGACCGCTTTTTGCAAGACAACGATCTTTACAGCTGATCGTCGGTTTTGCAAAGCGGCTTCCCTATGGGTGATCTTTGCTGGACGACAATGATTTTTCCCCATTGGAAAGCATTAAATGGGTTTCAATGCATTCCAATGGGGCAACGCTTTTCGCTACACAATACTACACAACAGCGATTTTCACAGAATGAATTATCGTCGTCATGCGGGGCACCACTGTATTGTGTTAAGTTAATTCTGACTTGGTGTTTCTTTTTTCAGGATTTTCCAGGTAGAAAACAGAAGTGGATTACTATTCCTCTCTTTGGGGGCGCTTTGGGACAGTGCGGCTTGCCCCAGGCCAGCCCTTCTTCCAGGAGGCACAGGGGGAGAATCAAACTCCCAACCTCTGGTTCTGCAGCCAGATACCCAAACCACTATCCAGTCAGCTAATCTCTATTGTAGCACCTTCTGTTGATCCAAGGTGGCTGCTGTTTATTTGTTGTTATCAGCCTTAAGGCTGCAAATAGCCTTTAATAAAAATTCATAAAATTGTCTGCCTATGGTAGGAATCCTGAATAACTGTGAGTCCCATCATTCAGCCCCTTCTGTATTGAAGCAATCAGATAAAGTTTGAAAGACAATGGTGACCTATTTCTCTTAGAAGAAAACCCTCACAGAACCCTCAGGTGGTTCCTCAAAGGAATGTAACAAGCGCTTTCTTTTTTAGTTGACTGAGGTGCATTAGCAGTGCCATGGAGACAAGGTTTAGCAGACAATGTACCTAAACATTTAATTAGTTTTTCCCTTATCAGATTTATCTTTGCTCCCTTTCTAAGGGCAAAGAGACTGGATAGCCAGACTGACTAAGAAATAGGTGAGAAAAGCAGAGAACACGGAGTTAATCCTTCAAAGATTTTTCTTTTTTTTCCCCAATCAAGTGTGCTTCTGATGAGGTGGCTGAGGCTGTTGAAGGTACAGAGTGAATGCTCCCCTCATCTAAGAAAAAATATCCTCAGAAACAACTGAGTAGGAAACAGGCTTTGTTGTTGTTGGCCAGATAAATTATGGAGAAGAATGGGGAAAAGGCCTATGAGAGAATGATGTTGTGTGAGACAAACTGCCAGATTCCAGGCCTCCTGGGGAGACAGGCAAAAGGACAGGCATGCAGAAATTATTATTTACACAGTAGCCACCAGAGGGACAAAGATTTTGGAGCACTTCCGCTGAGTGTAAAGGGGGCCTCTCTTCCCTTTTCTTTGCCATAGCTTTTGACATCTTCTCAAGCTAAAGAGACCCAGTGGGAATGGAGGTCAGATGCTACATAAGCTCGGGAACAGTGTACCCACCAACACTTGGCCAACATTTCAGTTCCCAATGGTCAATTTCTTCCAGAATTACTTAGAGTGGTTGCTTCCTTACAGGCTCCAGGATGGGGCACAGGAAGATGGGCATGACAGTAAGCCCCCCCCCCAATTTTTCTCACCCACTAAGTCTGTGCTTGTGCTTGATAAGGGCTTCCCAGTGGCCCATTCACCTTCAGATCATCAGCTTTAATTGTCGTGCTTTTTTAAAGTGACCAAGTCAGCTCCCTTCCCTACAGGAACTGTCAGACAGGAGAGAAGAGAAGAATTCCAGTAGTGGAAGAAAAGGGGGATAATAACAAGGCAAATGACAGAAACATTTTGTTGTGATTTCTCAAGAAGAAATTTGAAAAAGTATGAAGAAGAAATGAAATAGACTGAGAAATGGAAGCAGTGCAGAGAGAAGATAAATGCTATTGCTACAACAGATAAGAAGAAACTAGAATAAGAGAAGGGCTTTGAGAGTTTAATTTTATCTGGATCATGGAACCTCCCTGCTTCTTTCTGAGTAGATGGATGGAGAATAACACAATCACTGTTGATTTTTACACCCATCAACTCTGAGAACGGCCCAACACTTGATAAACACCTGTGGAAAAATCCCTAAAAAGTAAAATTTGAAAGTAACTAGGAAGCAGCACTTGTTACACCAATTTAAAAACATGTTCCTATTTAGTACATTGCTCTCAAAGAGTAATTCCACCATATTACAGTATTGCAACCCCCTAAAATAACTACTTCCTCATGACTCCAAATACTTGGTCTGACTCAACAGACGATATCTTGTATAGTCATGAAACAATGCATCAAAAATGTGAAGGGCACTCATTAATTCATTGAGCCAATGTTACGTAATAGATAGTTTTGTAATGGATAGGGTAAGACTAGGAGCCAGGAGACCTATGTTTAAATCCCTGATGGGCCATGGAAATTTAAAAGGAGGCAGCAAAGGCAGACCACTCCTTGAACATCTGATATACCCTGGAAACCCTATTAAAGTCACCATAATATGGAAGTGACCTGATGGCACATAAATATACATATATATATTTTATTACTATAACTTTAGAAAAACTCTGTGAAGTAGGGGAACCTGAGAGATAGTGGCTGGCCTAGGATCACCAATCAGAATCCTGCCGGTATTTACATATGTTCTGCATAACATGCTGTAGCTAATTGTGGCTGACTGACCAAGTGTTAGGGTGCATCTCAACTACACAAGCAGGTATGTGACCAGGTATGTGATTGAGATGATCGACAGCACCTAATCAGTTAGCAACAATTAGTTGTCGGAAGTTATGCAGATTGTTCACCAACATCAGTAACATTCTGTCCACTCAGCGGCAGCTTAAGATACCGATTTAAATGGTCTTACTATTAAGAGAGTTTCTTATAGAGGCATCTTTCTGCCATGTCCCTCATCTCTCTACTCTGTTACACTCCTGCCCTGGAGTGTATAAAATGACTAGAGAAAAGTATGCATGGACCTGGTGAAAGGATAGTCCCATTTCACAGGAGGGACATTTTTCACTCTGATTATGGCATTTTTGGCAGTCTTGAAAACACAGGACATTAAATACATATGGGATGCAAATGTGGAGTGAAAAACTTCTTCACCTGTTAGCAGAACAATGCAGGACGGTCCCATTTCACAGGAGGGACATTTTACACTCTCATTATGACATTTTTGGCAGTCTTGAAAAAAACAGAACATTAAATACAGATGGGATGCAAATGTGGAGCGAAAAACCTCTTCACCTGTTAGCAGAACAATGCAGGACAACCAGTTCACCTAGGGATTACGTTCACACTGTGAAAGATTCAGTAAACCACAGTATTCTCCTGGAGAGGGAAAGTAATCTGGGTTTTCAAGAGTGCAGTTACTGCAGGTTGTGAGTTATGAGCAATACTGTTCGAAGGTTGTAGAAGACTAGCCAAAAATAAGCCATGTGTCAGTGGTTATCTGTGGGTGGGCCATGGTGGCAGAACATATGATTCACATGCAGGAAGTCTTAAATCCAAGACAACTCCAGCTAAAAAGCTCTCAGGAGGACTAGAAAGGACCTCCCCTCTCCTAAAGGCCTTAAAAAGTGACTGCTGACCACAGCAGACAATACAAGCCAAAGGTTGTGATTTGACATAGGGCAGCTTGATGACAGAGCTAGAATGATGAAGATACAGCAAGGAAGAGTCCATGTTTAGAAGACTTTACAGTTGCGAATGAAGGAAAGAATTTAATTTTTCTTTCCTCCTTTCTTCCCTCTCCTTGCCTCCCCAACCTCTAGGCCAAACAACACCAGCTACTAAAGAGCTCCACGGTAGATTCTTCCCTCTACCACAATCCCTCCTTGGTGAGTTTCACCTTGCAAGCCCAGGACACTGCTCATCACAACGATGTGTCCCTGCTGTTGGCGCTTCATGTCGGGGAAGACTTCCTGGATAAGGCGCACCAAGCCAAAGAAGTTGGTGTCAAAGAGACGCTGTACTGAGGCCATGCTCTGGCTTTCTACTGGACCAATCATTCCTATTCCAGCATTGTTCACTGCAAAGGGAACAGGTAAAGCATTAGCAATCAGTTAAAAAGTGGAAAACCTGCTTTTCAAATACCAGGGATGTCAATCACCAGTGGAGAAAAAGAAATGATGAAGCCCACTCTGCACCACCCACAGTCACCTAGATCAGTGATGGCGAACCTGTTTGAGCCCGAGTACCCAAACTGCAGCACAAAACCAACCATGACCGTCCTGAAGAGTCGCACTCCTCCAGCGGCACCACCTCCAGTGCCTGCCTGGGACACTTCCTGCTCCGCCTCCGGGTGCAATCCTTAAAGGCGCAGGCGGCAGGAGCCGGGTGGTTCCATGCCTGGCATCTAGGCGTGTATATGCATGTTTGTGGTGGCTGAGGCCACTGCCGTCTTGGCTCTCTCTCCCTTCCCAAGAGTTCTTCCCAAAATCTGGGATCGGAGGTTGGGTGTTTCCTGGTGGTAACTTATGGCTCGGGTGCCCACAGAGAGGGCTCTGTGTGCCAGCTGTGGCACACATGCCATAAGTTCGCCATCACTGACCTAGCTCATCAGAGGTAAAAGGTGAAACTGGCCATTCTTGAAGGGCTGGAATACAGCATGTGCATCCTGTTTTTTGGGACAGCAGAGAACAGGATAGTACTTATTGCACAGCATTCATACACATGTTTTTGCATGAGGAAAATGACAACGCGGATGGCCAACCAGTCTATCTGCTAAAAAGAGTTGTCAGAACTGGACTTATTTCCGCTGTTATTTCCACTATTTTTCTACCGCTTAGATAAAGTTCAACTCAGAGCTGCAACGTAAGATATAGGATTACACTGATCCAAGTCTCATCCAAAGTAAGTATGATGATGCACTCAGCCATTGACTGTCAGGCTGGTCTGTGAAGAAAAGAATATCTGTGCAGGTGTAGCAAACAGGAACATGCAGTGTAACCCAGGAATATAAAAAATATTGTAGCTCAGGGTTACACCACCATCAGAGAACTCAACAGGGGTTACACAACAGTGGTGAGTGGACTGCTATTTGGTGGGACCAAGACATACCCCCCTCTTCCCACATACACAGAAACCCTGATCAGTATTGCCATTTCCACACCACTCGTAGCAGCAAAAGAAAGAGATTTAATCTTCCTGTCCTACTCTCTGCAATTCCAGCCCTATAGTTCCCCATCAAGATTGCGTTGTCTTGGCTGCTGCAAGCTGGCAAGCCATACAGTGAGTGGCCAAGGGCTCCACGTGGCCCTTGGATGACCCCTCCATAATGCCACAAGACTTGTGAGCAATAAGACCTTGCTCCTTTTAGCGGGGGGAGACGTTTTGCTAGCTCTGCAGTGGGAGGTACAGTTTTCCTACCAAGCACATCCACCCTGCGCTGTGGGATGCTGTCCACGCATCGCCGGATTGACTCTTGGCTGGTCACATCCAACTCCTTAATTTCCAGAGTTTTCTCCAGCACAGGCCCAGCTTGCCTCTTCAGGGCTTGGCTCTTCTCCAGATTCCTCATTGTGGCAATAACTATGGGCAGAGAACCAGAGTAAGAAATCCATGAAGACATTATGTTCAAGTTATGGAGAGTTTGCCTGATATTGAAGGTATTGAAACTCCACCCACTGCCTTAAAGTCATTCTCTTTGCCACTTTACTTCCAAACCTTATCTGTTTGCCTTCTGTGAAACCAATGCTGGAGCAAAAAACTGCTGGGTTCAGAAGAGCAGTTTTATGTTTTGGAGCTTAGATCTCACCTCTGCCCTGCACCTCGAATCTTGGGCACATTACCTTTCTTCTGGCCTCACCAGTTTGCTTTTGGGAAATGCATGTCTTGTGACCGGCTGAGCCCACCGTGGTAGCCCTTTTACAAACAGGCAACCCCCTTTCATGACAGTTAATTTTATGGGAGTGCTCTGTGAAGGATCCCAGGCCGCCACAGAGAGGATCTACGGACCACTCAGTCCTGCTACCATTGGTGTGGCTGTGTGCCAGGTGAGTTCAGTGCGCTAGCAATTGGGAACAGTTTCCTGTGGGCCCCCTTCTCCCAACACCTTACAGCCATCTTGCTCCTTTGGTGCACCAGGGAGAACAAAACTGTCTGGCTGTGGCTTCTGGCTGCAAAACAACCTTGCAAGGTAAAAAACACAAAATCCACAAAGTACTCAAAAAGCTTCTGAGTGCAAGGCACTCAGATACCCCCATCTCTACTAGGCAGTTAAGAGTCAGACACATAGAAATTAAGCAAGCTAACTATCTAGTTCTATACAGTGGTGCCTTGCTTTACAATTGCCCCGCATTATGACGAATCCGCTTTACAACGATCTTTATGTGATCACAATTGTGATCGCAAAACAATGGTCTAAATGGGGGAATTTCGCTTTGCGATGAGTGGTTCCCTGCTTCGGGAACCAATTCTTCGCAAAATGATGTTTTTCTAACAGCTGATTGGCGGTTTCAAAATGAACGCCGGGTAATTAAAATGGCTCCCTGCTGTGTCTAGGGACGGATTCCTCGCTATACAGGCAGCAAAAATGGCCATCGTATGGAGGATGTTCACTGGACGGGGAGTTTTTACCCCATTGGAACGCACTGAACGAGTTTCAATGCGTTTCAATGGGGTTTTTTATTTCGCTTTACAATGTTTTCGTTTAACGGCGATTTTCCTGGAACGGATTATCGTCGTTAAGTGAGGCACCACTGTAGTCACAAAGTAGCATGGTTCCAGTGCACATGCTAAGTTCAGTAGAGTAGGCTGTGGTATACTTTGAAGCAAGCAAGCATGAGCTAAAAGAAACTGTTTGAGTAAACCATTCTTCTGGATTGCTTTATACTCAATCATCCCTTTTCTGGAGGGCTCAGCCCTTTCACCCAATCAGGCACTGTCCCTTTCCAACTAATTAATTGGGACGTTCTCCAAGAGAGTGACACATCCGATAGCACAGATGGAATCAATTTGCATGTGAATTCAAGGAGGCTTTGCCTCTCACAACACTCCTAACTTTTCCATGGCTATTGGTAACAGCTTCGCATCATCTGATCCCAGCTCACTAATTAGAAGGTGCATTCTTTCTCCCATCCAGCTCATTTCAGCATTTTTTAAGACTGGGTGGTGGTGGTGATTAACCCCTTCTTTGCTAGTTTCCTCACATGTTCACAGCATTCCTTCCAAATTCCACATCTGTCCACTTAACCCCAAGGACTTCTGTCAGGGTCATTTTGGGAATACTGGGGCTGTATGGTTGGAGAAGGCACTCAAACCTGGGCCGATGGTAAAGGACAATCCTTCTCTCACAAGAAACAAAGAAATGGATGATACTAGGCTTTATACTCGAGGATAAACAACCAGACTGACTATTTCCACTTGACCTCAATGACAATGGGTGCATTTTCTAGTTCAGAATCCAGATAGAAGATTGAATATTTACAGCATGTTACTGTTGCAGCAGCTCCACAGCTGCCAATCCATTTCTGGGCATGGTGCAAAGTGCTGGGTTTTAACCTATAAAATAGCTTGGATCCAAGCCATCTCAAGGACTGCATCTGGCTGGATGTTGAGATAATCAGGGGAGACCTTTTTCTACAGTAGGTCCCACCACCCTCATAGGTGTACTTAGTGGGGACACAGGAGAGGGGGCCTTCTCTGTGGCTGCTCCCAGACTTTGGAACTCCCTCCCACAGGAGGCCAAATTGGCCCCATCTTTGCAGTCAGTCCTTCCAAAAGCAGGCAAACACCTTTCTCTTCAGGCAGGCTTTACCTTAGTGGCTGTCTGTCTGAGAGGGTTTTTTTAAAAAATGGATTGTTGCGTCTTGTTGCTTTTATGTGTTTCTACCATATATAGGTCTTTAAAACTATATACTCACTGTTTTTGCTTTTAAGTATTGTCTCTGTAATGACATAAGATACCTTCGGTCCTTTTTAAGGAGAGAGGCAGGGTAAAAGTATTTTAAATAAATAAATAAGAAAATATTTAATGATCCCCTTACATCAGAAAAAAAATCTGTGTGTGAACACATGTATTTGTTTGTACATGCACATGCTCTCTCATTGCATAAAGAAAAACTACAGGTCAGGAAGAAAATTAGTTTAGAACTTTCTTCTTGATAGGCAAAGGGCTTCTTAACCCCACCTTGCAATTAAATTTGCTAACTTTTCACAATACTATCTGAATATGAGTACCTCTCAACCATTTGTGTCCATGTGAAACAGTGAGGCACTTCTTGTAAAGCTGCCCTTCCTAGACATTTGAAGAAGATCCTTATCTGCTACAGACCATCAGGTGAGAGTTGCCTGGTTACTCTTAAACATGTTTCAATAAAAACTGAGCAGCTTTTCAAAGAGATGGGTTGTTTCTCTGCAGCTTCCAACAAGCAGCTGAGGGTCTTAACAAAGGGATGGTTTTAACAAAGCCATTGTTGCTCACACTGTGCAGGAGAGCACTAGCTTTTCACTCTGTGTTTGAGGGCTCATGGAAGGTGTGAATTAATAGGGTGAACCAAATTTCTGGTTTGCTTTAATCCCACATTTACCTCAAAGGAAAATCTCCCATTAAAAATGCTGCATGCAAAGCTCTAAAATGTTAAATCAATCCCAAAGGCTGGCACAGCTTTTAAAAAGCAGGTCTTTTGGGGACCTTACAACTCCATCTTTGTCCTTGAAAAGCTCCTCAAAGTGGAGACAAAGCCAGTGTGGTGTAACTTTGTCTCCTGAGACTTGCTAGGTGAAGTTGGGCCAGTCATAGTCATGCAGCCTGGCTTTTCTCACAGGGTTGTTGCGAGAATAAACGGCATGTGTGAACGAGAGCAATTTTTGCTCCCTTAAGCTTACTGGAGGAAAGATGGGACACAACTGTAACAAAGAAAGGAAAGGATGAAACAAGCAAGGAAAACAATGCTAGTGAATGGGTGTTGTAGGTTTTTCAGGCTGTTTGGCCGTGTTCTGGAGGTTTTTCTTCCTAACTTTTCACCAGTCTCTCTGGCCGGCATCTTCAGAGGATAGGAACTAGAACTCTGTGTCTGTGTTCTGGTGTAATGTGTGGGATTGTGAGTATTTGAAGCTGTGGGATCAGCTACAATCCCCCACACTACAACAGAACACAGACACAGAGTTCTAGCTCCAGTCCTCTGAAGATGCCAGCCGCAAAGGCTGGCGAAATGTCAGGAAGAACCACCTCCAGAACACAGCGAGACAGACCGAAAAACCTACAACCACCATTGGATCCCAGCTGTGAAAGCCTTCAAGAATACAATGCTAGCGAACTCTGAAAGCAACAGCAAAACTGGGAATGACAAACTAGATCACTGCTCTGCTTCATCCAGAAAGCTGTGTCCCCTCTTTCCCAAATGGCATCTAGCTTAAGACATCCCCTCACCTCTGAAGCGCTTCAGCTCATCTCTGGCCAGACGCAAGGCCAGGGCCAGCCCGATACCAGAGGAGCAGCCAGTCACCAATACGTTCCGGGCAGCCATAGTCCCACCTGCAGAAGGAGAAAAAGAGGAACTGGAGGAAATCTTCAGGAAGGGTGGGGGGGAAATGAGTGCAGTGGTGAAGAGATCAAGCTGTAAACATTAGAGCCCCTACTTTAGCCATTGCCTCTGCCAAGAATTCAACAGGTAATCTTTAGAAAAGCCATTGCTCGCTCTCTGTGTGTCATCTTTCCATTTCAAAATACAGAAATAAAAGTAGGTATTTACTTTGCAGGACTACTGTGAAGTTGCTATATGCTGTCAAGTCAGAACCGATTTATAGCAATCCTAACAGGGAGTTAAAAGTAAGTGGGATATTTAAGGAGTGATTTTACCAGTTCCTCTCCCCCAGTGAGTTTCCATGGCTAAGCAGAAATTTGAACCAGGGCCTCCTGAGTCCTAGTCTGTCATTCTATCCACTACACCACACTAGGTATCACTGAAAAGACTACTAAGATAATACAGTGGTGCCTCGCTTAACGACAATAATCCATTCCAGGAAAATCGCCGTTAAGCAAAAACATCGTAAAGCAAAAAAACAAAAACAAAAACAAAAAAACAAAAAAAGCAAACACATTGAAACCCGTTCAGGAACCACTCCTGTTCATCATAGTCGTTTTGTGAAGAATCAGTTCCCGAAGCAGGGAACCGATCATCGCAAAGCGAAATTCCCCCATTTAGACCATCGTTTTGCGATCGCAATTGCAATCACAAAAAGATCGTCGTTAAGTGGATTCGGCGTAACGCGGGGCAATCATAAAGCGAGGCACCACTGTACAGTGGTGCCCCGCATAGCGAGGTTAATCCGTTCCGGATTAACCTTCGCTATGCGAAAACATCGCTGTACGGGGCAGGAAAAGCCTATTGGAACGCATAAACTTAGTTTAATGCGTTCCAATAGGCGCCAAAACTTACCCCTCCAGCGATGTTTTCGCTGGTCCGGCGGCCATTTTGGACGCCCCAATCGTCGCAAAGCGAGTGCGGCGATTGGGGCAGCTCCGTATAGCGATCCCCAAAAAGGGATCGCTATACGGATTCTTCGTTATACGGTGCGCTTGTTAAGCGAGGCACCACTGCGGCGGCTCCAAAATGGCCGCCGGACGCCCCAATCGTCGCAAAGCGAGTGCGGCGATTGGGGCAGCTCCGTATAGCGATCCCCAAAAAGGGATCGCTATACGGATTCTTCGTTATACGGTGCGCTCGTTAAGCGAGGCACCACTGTATATGAAATTTTCTAAATATACCTCATTGTCATTACCATTAATGTTACATATTTCTTGTATTTAACAATATAAAGTTCTGTTTTTTGCCAAATACTATTAAAAATAACAGTGCTATTAATAAATAGCAGAATTTGATTACTACTAAATATTGCTAAATTTTCTTAAGCACTCCTATTGCAGGGGTGGGATTAGAAGCCACAAAAATGTTTTGTGGTTCCACTAGTAGTTTGACATTCTCCCCACCAGCAAAGATGATGCTGTGGCAATCCTAGCCTAGCAATATCCAACCCTAGACCATGGAAGACAGGTGAAACACTGGCATTAGAGGGTGAAAGAGTAAAATAGTCTGTCACATTCTTTCCTGTAGGATCAAACACGGCCAGAAAAAATAGTCTAATAACCACTTATCCATCCTGCCTGCTCAGGCCCAAGCTGAGTTCTGTTTGGCCCAAGGTCATTCTCTGTCTAGTCCACATGATGGTGCTCCCTTAACTTCTCTCACTGGCTTCCATTCTGCCTGCTATTTCTCTCTTTTCATCTCAGCTCCAACCTAACAATACATTCCTTCTCTTGCCTGCCCTTTCCTTGAATTTACCTGGGAAATGTCTGATTCTTTTATTTTAGCAGAGATATATGAAAACAGAGGTTGAACATGCTGGGAAGCTTAAAGGGCAGAAGTATAAATCATGTTACCTCAAGCACACACTATACACTCTCTCTACCCCACTGTAACTCAGAAGGCAATGGTATTAAGTCTCTCTTCACTGTTTTCCCTTGGAAAGCATCGTATCAGATCTAGGATGCGGGTAGGCATCTGTCATAATTTCATCACAGGAACACCTGGGAGATATGTGTCAGGAACCTGCAACCAATCACAACTCCCTAGGAAGAGTGTTATCCCATTGCACAGTGACAGAAAGGTGGCAGGAGAGAGAAACCCATTGCTTCTTTGTTTCGTAAAGGGAAAGGAAGCGGAATATAAAATTCTACCCTGTTTTCCCCAAAATAAGACCTAACCTGAAAATAAGCCCTAGTATGATTTTTCAGGATGCTCATAATATAAGACCTACCCCCAAAATAAGCCCTAGTTAAGTGAAACCCCACCCTCCACCATTGTGCAGCAACTAAAAGACGAAAGGACTGTAAAATAAAACATCCCCTGAAAATAAAGCCTAATGCGTTTTTTGGAGGAAAAATTAATATAAGACCTTGTCTTATTTTCGGGGAAACACAATATAAATGAGCAACCACTACTGAAGCAATATGCGAAGGGGTCTTAAGCTAAAATAAACCTCATACAGATTATCCGCAGAATAAGAAACCTGCATTTGATTATCTAGTCTAACTACTTCTGCTCCCAAAACACCTACATCAGGTGACTTCTCTCTTTTCTCCTCCAGAGGAGTGAATTCTTGGGGAGTCTTTGGTCTTACCTCTCTGTCCCTATCTGCAACCAAAGTATGCATAACTGCATCTGCTTGTGTTATAAATTTAAAATACAGTGGTGCCTTGCACAATGAGTGCACCGTAGAGCGATGAAATCACTCTATGAGGACGTTTTCACAATCGCAAATGCGATCGCATACCGATGGCCCCTATGGCCGAAAATCGCAGAGCAAAGGTCAGTAAGCGGTTCGCTTACCGACCTTCGCTTTGCAACCCGCCGATCAGCTGTTCGGCGGCTACAAAATGGCCGCCGGAAGCCACAAAATGGCCGCGCGCAGCGTTTTCGCGCCCTTGTTAAGCGAGGGGAGGGCGCGAAAATGGCTGCCGGCCATAGAGGAACATCGCTGAACATTGAGTAAAGGAGCCTTTTGGAACGCATTAAACACTGTTTAATGCGTTCCAATGGGCTTTTCTGTCCCGCTCAGCGATGTTTTCACACAGCGAGGGTTAATCCGGAACGGATTAACCTCGCTGTGCGACGCACCACTGTATATTGTTTAATTTATATACAAAATCCATAATATCTAACTCTTGATGCCCTCGCCTTTATTTTATTTTTAAAATTTTCCCCCTGTCTTTCTTCTTTAAAAGGACCCAAAGAAGTTTACATAATTAAAAAACAGTATTAAAAGCTAACAGCGATGAGTATACAGTGGTGCCTTGCATAGCGATCGTTCCGTTTAACGAAGAAATCGCTTTGCGATGTTCCCTATGGGGAAAATTCGCTTTGTGATTATCGCAGGGAAGTGATCATTGCAAAGCCCCCATTTTCGGCCAGCTGATCGGCGGTTCCAAAATGGCTGCCGGGTAAACAAAATGGCCACCCGCTGTGTTTAGGGACGGATTCCTCACTTAAGAGGCAGCGAAAATGGCCGCTGTATGGAGGATCTTCGCTTAAAGGTTAGTTTTTAGCCCATAGGAACGCATTAATGGCATTTTAATGTGTTTCTATTGGCTTTTTAATATCGCTTAGCGATGAAATCGCTTAGCAGTGATTTTTGCTGCACGGATTAACATTGCTAAGCGAGGCACCACTGTACTAAAAAAGAACAAATAAATACTACACTAAAAAACATAAGCAACACCAAAACACTGGGAAGTAGCAAGGGACAACAATCCTACTAAGCCAGACCTGGGCAAAGTGCGGCCCGAGGGCCACATACGGCCCGCGAGCCGCTCCTGTCCGGCCCGCTGGACATCAAAACCATTTATAGCTTTTTGTCTAAAGTTGATCAGTTGCTTATCTTTAACATACCGCAAAAAACCTCTTTAGTATTTGTGAAGATTAACAAGTTTAAAATAAAAACAATCATAACCTCACTGTTTTATTTTATTTTTAAGTAAAGTTGGTTCGGCCCCTGAACACAGTTCAGATTTTTCATGTCCCCCCCCCATAGAAATTAATTGCCCACACCTGTACTAAGGGTAGCCAGCCCCTGAGGGAAAGCTTGCCTGAAGAAAAAGGCCTTTGCCTGCTTGCAGAAGGATGGTAAAGATGGAGCCAGCCTAACCTCTGGTGGCAGGGAGTTCCAGAGTCTGGGAGCAGCAAAGAAGGCCCCCTCCTGTGTTCCCATTAGATGTACTCATTCTGTGAGACCAAAGCTCTATTTCCAGCCTCATGTCTATCCTACATGAGGCCCTGGGACACTGTCCTGGGACCCACTGTCCTCTCTCCCGTTTCCCCATCAAATGCACCTATGATGGTTGAGGGAATTAGAGAAAGGCCTCTCAGGATGATTTTAACACTCGAGTAGGGTCATAAAACTTGAGCCTAGGTTGTTGTTTAGGGCTTTATATACAGTATTAGAACCAACACTTTGAATTCTGCCCGAGGATGGATGAGCAGCCAGTGGAGCTGCTCTAACAGGGGTGATCCCATGACCAGTCCCAGTTAGCGATCTGGATGCTGTCTTTTGGACCAGCTGAAGTGATACTCTTCACAGGCAGACCTGCAAAGGGTGTTACAGTAATCCAGCCCGGATGTGACTAAGGCATGTGTCACCATGGCCCAACCTTTTTCTTTCATCTGCTACGCACCACAGCTAACAGTTCATTTGTACAACTCTGTTTATCTAACGTTGTAACACGTATATTAGCGGTGTTTAAAAACAAATGGGGGCTATTTCACTGGCAAGCTGAAATATGTCCATGGGTCTAATTCAGTCATTTGCACTGATGATTTGTAAGGTGATAACCATGCTATTACACTGAAATATCATAATCGAACAATAAGTGTGCCCCAATAATTTAGCAAAGACCTTTTCAAAATTCTGTTCTGAATTAAGCTCCAAATATGTACAATTAACAACCTAGTAAAACACAATGTATTAATATTGAAAGAATTAAAAACATCTGGTTATATATTTGAGCTCAAACCACCAACAAGAACACAGGAACTAAAATAGCAAGGAAGGTTGTTGGGGAAAGACCCAGGATAACGAGGACATCTATGTCGGGTGCCGAAAGCATGACAATAAGGGAGTCAGGGGAGTGCACCAAGGAGTGCATCCCCTAGATTAGTGGTTCTTAACCTTTGTTACTCGGATGTTTTTAAACTGCAACTCCCAGAAACCCCAGCCAGCACAGTTGATGGTGAAGGCTTCTGGGAGTTGCAGTCCAAAACTCCTGAGTAACCCAAGGTTAAGAACAACTGCCCTAGATGGGAGACATGGCCGCAGAGGCTTTCTCCCTCTGAACTTCAGATTATGGAGTTAATTCAAAGGGGGGCCTCCGTAAATTGCCCTAAGGCAGTGGTGTCGAACTGTGGCCCTCCAGATGTTCTTGGCCTTCAACTCCCAGAAATCCTGGCCAGCAGAGGTGGTGGTGAAGGCTTCTGGGAGTTGAAGTCCAAGAACATCTGGAGGGCCACAGTTTGACACCACTGCCCTAAGGCATGGGTAAGTATGTGATGCAACAGATACTGCAAATGCAGTATCAAACAATGTGCTCTGTATCTTTAAGCTGCCAGCACCATGTGCTCTTACCTAGGATTAAGCGGCACTAAACACGATGGAACTTCCCTCTGAACTCCCATGCATAGGGTTGGGAGTCAGTCAAGAAAAGAGCATCATTGTTTGTCTGTCGTTACTACCCTGGAGCAATGCCGGAAATGGGTATCAGCAGGCCTACTCCCACAGTTTGTTCTGATTAGCAAAACGCAGAATTCCTGAAAACAACAGAATGAAATTCAATAGGGATAAATGCAAAGTACTCCTACCTAAGAAAAAGAAACCAAACACAAAGTTATAAGATGGGAGATACATGGCTCAGTGATAGTTCAAGTGAGAAAGATCTTGGAATTTTCATAAATCACAAGCTGAATATAAGCCAAAAGTGTGATGTGGCTACAAAAAAGGCAAATGCTAGTTTAGGCTGCATTAACAAAAGTATAGTCTCCAAATCCCATGGGGTACCAATCCTCATTTATTCAGCACTGGCTAGGCCTCACTTTGACTATTCTGTCCACACTTCAAGAAGGATGCTGATAAACTGTAACAAGTCCAGAGGAGAGCAACGAACGTAATCAGGTGTCTGGAAACCAAGCTCTGTGAGGAAAGACTGCAATAAGTGGGCATGTTTAGCCTTGAGAAAA